CATTCCTCAGTCAATGGACATTTGGGCTCTTTCCATAATTTGGCTATTGTTGATAATTCTGCTATAAACATCAGGGTGCATGTATCCTTTTAACTCTTCAAATCAGTATTTTTGTATCCTTTGGGTAAATACCTAGTAGTGCAATTGCTAGGTCGTAGGGCAATTCTATTTTTAACTTACTGAGGAACCTCTATACTATCTTCCAAAGCGGGCTGCACCAGTTTGCATTCCCATCAACAGTGTTAAGAGTGTTCCCTTTTCTCCGTATCCTCGCCAACATCTCTTGTTTTCTGTGTTGTTAATTTTAGCCGTTCTGACAGGTGTGAGGTGATATCTCATTGTACTTTTGATTTGTATTTCCCTGATGATGACTGACGTTGAGCATCTTTTCATGTGTCTGTTAGCCGTCTGTATGTCTTCTTGGGAAAAATGTCTATTCATGTCCTCTGCCGATTTTTAACTGGATTGTTTGGTTTTTGGGTGTTGAGTTTTATAAGTTCTTTATATAGATTTTGGATGGATACTAACCCTTTATCAGATGTCATTTGCAAATATGCAATATTCTGAAATATTCTCCCATTCTGAAGGTTGCCTTTTAGTTTTGTTGTTTCTTGTTGTTGTACAGCAGCTTTTTATCTTGATGATGTCCCAATAGTTTATTTTTGCTTTTGTTTCTTTGCCTCAGGAGACGTATCTATTAAGAAGTTGCTACGGCCAATGTCAAAGATGTTATACTGCCTGTGTTCTCCTCTAGGATTTTGATGGTTTCCTGTCTCACAGTTAGGTCTTTTCATCCATTTTGAATTTATTTTTGTATATGGTGTAAGAAAGTGGTCCAGTTTTCCCAACACCATTTGTTGAAGACACTGTCTTTTTTTCCATTGGATATTCATTCATGTTTTGTCAAAGATTCGTTGACCATCTAGTTGTGGATCCATTTCTGGGTTTTCTGTTCAGTTCCATTGATCTCCATTTCCATTTTTGTGCCAGTACCATACTGTCTTCATCACTACATCTTTGTAATATAACTTGAAGTCTGGAATTGTGATCCTCTGGCTTGGCTTTGCTTTTCTTTTTGAAGATTGCTTTGGCTATTGAGGGTCTTTTTTAGGATTTTAGAATTATTTTGTTCTAGCTCTGTGAAAAATGCTGGTGGTATTTTGATTGCATTAAATGTGTAGTTTGCTTAGCGTAGTATAGGCATTTTAATAATATTTGTTCTTCCAATCTCAAACTTCTGATTTTAATTGTTAGGAAGAGCTGTAACCATCAGAAGCTTATAACTAGTTTGTTTTATACATACTTAAGAAACTGTTTAACAGAAATAATTTGCATCAGCTATGGGGGTGCTAAAATAATTATTGTCCTTTGAAATAAGTCCATGCGTTACTCAAATAAAGCAATACTGGTTTAGCTATTTATTAGGTACTTCTGAGCCTTTAGCTTTTGGCCTAGGGAGCCTGGCCATGGGAAATGATGGTGGAAATAGTAAATGAAAAGTTATTTCGCAGTTGGTTTTATTTTCCAGCTATTATGTGGATTGCAGTAGTTGCTTCTGAGCAGATGATAGTAAAGTGGGTGGATAGCTCCTCAAGCCCCCTTGTACAGCACATGGGGACACATGCCAAGTATGTACCTTATTTTATCCATTTACTTCCTTTGTCAGAGGGAGACAGAAAACAGGAATTTTAAATTTTTCTAAGTAATTAGAAGTTTGCTAGAAGTTATTTTTAGGAGACCAGGCAGCTTTTTTAAGTTGTTTTTTTTTGTTTTGTTTTGTTTTGTTTTGTTTTTTTCAGATTAAGATCTCTACAGGGGTGCCTGGGTGGCTCAGTGGGTGAAGCATCCGACCCTGGATTTTGACTCATGTCACGATCCTAGAGTCGTGGGATCGAGCCCCGCATTGGGCTCCATGCTAAGTGTGTAGGCTGCTTGGTATTCTCTCTCCCCCTGCCCTTCTCCCTCACTCGTGCTCTCGCTCTCGCTCTCGCTCTCTCGCTCTCTCTCTCAGACAATTACTTAATTTAATTTAATTTAATAATTTAATTTAATTTAAAAAAGATTTCTACAGCAGTGATTAGGACAAAATGGTGTATTATGAAGAACATATTCTATATGCTGCCAAAGCAAGCACAGTATTATGAAGAACATAGGATCTGAAGTTAGAAGCTCAACCTCTTGATAATACCTGTACAACTTCTGGCACGTCAGCCCCTCTGAACCTCAATTTCCTCACCTGCCAAATGGGAATAATAGGGACCCTACCCATTTCTTTACACAGGGTAGGATAAAAATGCTTTGGAGACTGTATTTTAAGTTGTTTTTATAAAATTGAGTTGCTTTGCCAGTTTCACAAATGGTCTATTTTAGTTGTAGAAGAATCTCCTAATTGGGACTGTGAATTTCTGAAAGTCCATTTATCACCCAGCATATGAGGAAACTATGTTGTGGGGAAATAACTAGAGCACCACTGAGCAGTATCTCAGCTCTAGTGTTAAATTTTATTATCTCCTACAAATGATCAATATCAAGATGGTAAAAGGAAGCTTCCTATTTACCTGACACTCTTTTATATTGTTTGTTATAGACATGTATTGCCTATTAAAGCTTTGTGTACTTGGAGGAGCTCAGAGATGACTGTGAGTTGTTGAGACCTGCGCTGGCCGCAGCAAGATGAAACTGGGCTCTGTAATCTGCATAGAATCCCCTAGAAAGCTGGGCCAGCGGCTTGACCGAAATTATAAAACTCCTAGGGAAACAGGACAGGTGACCCCTGTGCGAGAGCACTGATAACATTGCTATATGTCTCCTTTCAGTGGCAAGGGGGAACCTGTGACGGAACTCAGCTGGCACTCCTGTCGGCAGCTCCTTTACCAGGCAGTGGCCACAATCCTGGCCCACGCAGGCTTTGAGTGTGCTAATGAAAGTGTCCTGGAGACCCTCACTGATGTGGCACACGAGTACTGCCTTAAATTCACCAAGTTGCTGCGCTTCGCTGTGGATCGGGAGGCCCGGCTGGGGCAGACTCCTTTCCCTGACGTTATGGAGCAAGTATTCCATGAAGTGGGCATTGGCAGTGTGCTCTCCCTCCAGAAGTTCTGGCAGCACCGCATCAAGGACTATCACAGTTACATGCTACAGGTGAGGTGACCCCATGAGAAGTGGGTAAAAGTGTGTAATGTAGGGGTGTTAGCAGGATCCCACAACACTCACCCTAGAGAGCAGGGTACAGGGTCTTGGAACAGAGTGGACTTGACATGCTCTCCTCCTGGCCCTGGCTGTGTTCCATCGGCCTCATCACTGACCTGGCCAGAGCCAGGGGCCTTCTTTAGCCAATGAGTGGCTCCATTTATTGATCACACTTCCTCTGGAAGAAATTATACACGGGTATGTAGAGTCTGAGAGAATGTGGTTAGCATGCTTTATTCAACAGATATTTATTGAGTCCTATTTTGAGTCAGGCACTGTGGGATACAACAGTGAACAAGTTCTTTCAGCTTGTATTCTTGAGACGGAAACAAAAACAAGTAAATAAATAATGATCAAAACAATTTCAGCTGGCGTTAAGTGCTGTGAAAAACAGAACCAAACAGAATGAGATGATACTGCCCAAGGGTGGAAGAGGGGGCAGAGATACCATTTTGGGTTAGAACCAGAAATACCTAATCTCTTTAACCTATGTGGCCTTAAGTCATTTGTTCACTGTTTTGTTTTTCCCAAATCTAAAATATGATAAGGACTTTTTAACACCCAACAAAAAAGTCTTTGCTAAGCGATTCAGATTTCCTACACCATTCATTATCCACCTAGAGTGCATATGTCAACAGTTTTTACAGACAAAAATATAATCTTTTGTCCCCATTCTGATTTATCTCTAACAAAGCCTCTTTTGCCTTTGTGTAGCTTAATTAATGACACACAAAGTCTCTGCAAACAACTTTTCTTTACATGTCTCTGTCATTTACAAATGCAAACACCCTACACAAATTCCTTCCATGTGCCAACTATGCTCAAAAAAAAAAAAAAGTAAAAAAAATTTCCTTCCATTGGCAGTGGTTGCTTTATTCATATTCACATGATGTTGTTTTTTCCATGGGATGCCACAAGCTGACTATCCACCTTGCTTTTAACATTCCTTTGGAAAAATGACTCTTGCTTGCCAACAGATTAGTAAGCAACTATCTGAGGAGTATGAAAGGATTGTCAATCCTGAGAAGGCCACAGAGGACACTAAACCTGTAAAGATCAAGGAAGAACCTGTAAGTGACATCACCTTCCCCGTCAGTGAGGAGCTGGAGGCTGACCTTACTTCTGGAGACCAGTCACTGCCCATGGGAGTCCTCGGGGCTCAGAGTGAGCGCTTCCCATCTAACCTGGAGGTCGAGGCTTCGCCACAGGCTTCAAGTAAGAGAAATCAACCGACTCTGATTCTGGGAGATCTGCCAATCTCAGCACTCTGCATTTTGGAATCAAACTCTGGAGATGAGAGGAAAAAAAAGTGTGGGTGGCAGGAGATTGGAAAGTCTAAAAACAAATACAGCCTCATTGATCTAGTGATACCAACATTCTTTTCTTTGTAATCAGTGAAGGGAGGACTAACACAACCGTACAGGCATTATTTAAAATCGTTCCAAGTTAGGATACAGATTCAGTATGTGTTATCCTGTTGATTGCCAGAGTTAATTTAGCTGACCCATATGGGTGGGCAGATGCCCCCTTTATCACTTAGTATGCTGTACTGTTTTTTCCTGATGCTTCTACTCATTAGACAACGCCCAGATTAAATAGAGGAATGTTAATTGCTCAAGGCTGTTTGAATAGTTGGGCTTCCTTGCTAGAGTGCTCCCAATAAATTGTAGCTGAAAGGGATTGCAATAGGGCTATCCAGTTAGAGGTGCCTGCTTCTTCTTCCAGACTCTGTGATCACCTTAGGAACCAGGATGAGCAATTCTTAAGTTAGGTAGATTGCAAATTAGTCGAGATACTCAGTGTTGTTGTTTTTTTTTTTTTTTACAAATATAAATGGCCATTTCATCAATGCACAAATCCTAAACAGAATTAGGCCACATCGTTTTAAGTGTTGAGCAGAGAACCTTTCACCATGGAAGAAGTAATAACCACAAACAGTGTTGCTAGAACACAGACAGGAGGGCCGAAGAGAAATTGTTGCAGACTTAGGAACCATGTCTCTTTTCAGCATTCTGGGAACTGCTGCCAGCATTTTGTAGTGATCATTAAGTTCATAATATGAGAGAGGACCAGGGACTCAAAAGGCAGGAAAATAGGACAGCTTTATAGAAGGAAGGAAAGAAGAAACAATACCTGAACAAGAAACCATGGTTGTGCCATGAGACAGGGAATCTTTGTACCTGTGTAGTTTTAGTATATGTGCTGCCGAAGCGAGCACTGTACCTGTGTAGTTTTACTTCCCTGGCTTAGGGGAAATGGGAGGGTGGGTGAGGTGGGGTAAAGGAGAGTAGAGGAAGTGGAAAGGAAAATATTCAGAATTGGTAGTTTGTTTTTTAATTTTTATTTTTGAGACAGAGAGAGAGCTAGAAGGTGATTGGGGAGGGATAGAGGGAGAGAGAGAATCCTAAGCAGGCTCAATGTGGGGCTCGAACCCACAAATCATGAGATCATGACCTGAGCCAAAATTAAGAGTCAGCCACTTAACTGACTAAGCCACCACCCAGGCACCCCTGGAGCTGGTAGCTTTTTGAACAGAAGATAACAACCATATTCTCCAGCCAGGCAGAATCAGAGTACAAACTGAGCTTAAAGGCTGCCCTGGGTAAAATATTTGTTTTGCTGTGTTCCAGCCTTGGCTTACTACTAGTTGTGTGTTCTTCCATTGCTAGGCACGGAGGTAAATGCTTCCCCTCTTTGGAATCTGGCCCATGTGAAAATGGAGCCTCAAGAGAGTGAAGAAGGCAACGTCTCTGGGCATGGTGTGCTGGGCAGTGATGTCTTCGAGGAGCCCATGTCCGGGATGAGTGAAGCTGGAATCCCCCAGAGCCCCGATGACTCAGACAGCAGCTATGGTTCCCACTCCACTGATAGCCTCATGGGGTCCTCCCCTGTTTTCAACCAGCGTTGCAAGAAGAGGATGAGGAAAATATAAAAGGAAAAGGGGAGATGTTCTGTCCAGATCCATAAGACCCAACAGAAAACCTTGATGTATTCAAATATTTCCATAAAAGGTGATTTGACTCTTACTCTCAACCACAGAGCAATTTCTGGATTTCAGTGGAGATGGATTTAACAAAACAAGTTTGCATTTTACTTTTACATCCAGTTTTGTAGTTTTCCACAACGAAGCCATCTTTTACAGACCGTTCATGACACTGGGATGATAATCAGGAGACAGAGCACTGTCCCTGTCATCCTTACCATTGCACAGCTAAGAAGTACATACTGGTTGGCCCTGTACTGCACGGATATTGTACAGATTGAGATTGTTATCAGACCTCCAAGCTGTGCTTGCAAAGACTCACAAGTAAATATATGCTGATATATCAGTTTTTTCACTGAACTTGCTTCACTTTGGGGTCGAATCAGTGGGAACCCGGTACTAAAACCTAAGAGAAAATAGCTAATCCCCTTTTTAGTGGTCTTTTTTGAACAGTTTTTGCTGCCCATGAGGTCTCCTGAACCCAGGGGTGTGTGGTGCTTCTTTGGCAGCCGTGTTTCATCCACGTTGCTTTTTTTTTTTCCTTTAGAGAAAAAAAAATTGTTTTAACATTTATTATTGAGAGACAGAGAAAGATAGAGCATGAGTATGGAAGGGGCAGAGAGAGGGGGAGAGACAGAATCCAAAGCAGACTCCAGGCTCCAAGCTGTCAGCACAGAGCCCAACACAGGGCTCGAACTCACAAACCACAAGATCATGACCCAACCCAAAGCCAGATGCTCAACCGACTGAGCCACCCAGGTACCCCTCCTTTTTCCTTTTAATCTCTGCCCCCAAAATGGGGCTCGAACTCACGACCCCAAGATCACGGGTCGCATGCTCTACCAAAAGCAGGCACCCTTCTCCTTCTTTAGACTTACTCCATCTACCTCATCCTTTTTTTGTCATTTTCTCATTTCCATGCAGCTTTTAAAAATATTTCACCATGTACTTTTCAGTTGTTTTCTTATCTTTATTGGGAATGAAGGAAACAGGACCTGTCCAAGGACAGACTCGCACGGATTCCATTTGTTGCATCTACTTGGCCATCAGAGGGCAGCAGTCCTTCCTTTGCCAGAAGTCCACATCTGCATTGTGTTGCTACTGGACGTGCAGCCTCCAAAATAACAATAGTATACACATCTTTCTCCTTTACATCATGTCCTCAACTTTACATTATTACTCACCCATCACAGTATTGCCCTGCCTGGCATCCAAAAGTCTCAGTATTTATTAAGTGAATGATTAGCACTGGAATAATTAGGAGTAATTGGCAAATGTGTGGTTTTTGCCTTGGTAGTGGGTGCTGGTATGTTAAATCCTGCTGAAATTTGTTTTTTGGGTACAGTCTTTTGAAATGTACCACATTCTTTTAATAGGGACCAAAATCAAGGCATGGCTTTAATTAGTACATGATTGAATGCCTTAAATGTCCCAGGTGCTGAGAATAAAAATGAATGCAACAGCAGTAAAATGAGGTTATAAACTATCAGGTAACCTACAGATTTGCTAACTGTACAACCCTTAGCATGCTTATCTAAATTCCTATTCCAGACTCAGTTACCTTCACTTTCCCCTATTTATGAAAGTAGACATCAAGCAGTTTCCATAAAGTAGCCATCTAGTATTTAATCCATTCAATTAGCAGGCATTTATTGAGCAACTGTTATGTACTGGTTCCTGTGCAAGAGATACAGAGATGAGTAAGACTGTGTCCCTGTCCTTATGGAGCTTTCAGACAAGTTATTTTTTAAAGAAGTATTCAAAGGCACTAAGCAGAAAAACCAAATATATTCAGTGTGCTTTGTAAATGTTTTCCTCTTGAACAGGTTCAAAAAATTTTTTTAACGTTTTATTTTTTACATTTATCATGCCACGAATTCATAGGGAATGGGCTCCAGCAGCTCATGCTTCTTTCCATTGGTTCAAAGTGTACTTCTCTGGGTGGGGCAGGCTGGCACTTCAGCTGAATCCAAATACCTTTTTCTTTGGCTTCCTTCTTTTCCTGATCATTTTCCTTCGCACGTTTCAGGAAGCTCTCTGAAGAATTAATATGTACAATCCCCTTTCGCAAGAACCTTGCCCTTGTTTACAACAATGGCAGCAGCATACTGGGCAACACTGTAGACTTTTCCAGTTTTGCCATGCTAAAATTTGTGGGGCGTTCCTTTTTGAATAGTGCCTATTCCCCTGAGGTCCACAATATCACCTTTCTCATAGATTTGCATGTTATGTGGCGAAAGAACAACTCCATGCTTTCTAAAAGGCCTAGAGAACATATGGCAGGTACCACTCCTCTTTCCCTTTGTGTTGGTCATTTTGAAAATTACTGGAAGATGGCAGTTCTGCTATGTTCAAATTATAGACCTATATAGGTCTATAATCTATAGGTATAGAATACTGAAATTGATACTTAATGGCAAAATAAAATATTTTTACTTTTAGAACGTTTAAATGGAGAATAAGCACCAGATGGTCAAGGTTAGGGTACTCTTAATAAAGCAGGTCATTTTGTGGATACCTGAGATTTTCCTGGCCTAGAACTGTCACAGGCTATTTGAGTTAGAGCAGTGGTTCTCAAACTTAAATGCATGGGAATCCCCTGGAGGACTTATTAAAACAGATTTCTGGGTCCCACCCCCACAGTTTCTGATTGAGGTCTTGAGTGTTGTATTTCTAACAATTTCCCAGGTAATGCTGATGCTTCTGGTCCACTGGCCACACTTGAGAACCACTGAATCAGAATGCAGATTAGGCAGGGATAAAATTCCTTAAAGGAAATGAATGCACTATGTTTTATATTAATAGGAAGAATGTGCAAGCAGGGCAAACCTTACCATGGCTACTATGTATGGAATGTGCACCTGACCCAAATCCATGGCCTTTGATGAAATCACCAAGGATACTTTAAGTTTAAAGTACAATACAGGGGCACCTGGGTGGCTCAGCAGCTGGTTAAGAGTCCTACTCTTGATCTCAGTTCAGGTCTTAATCACTGGGTTGGGAGTTCAAGCCTCGCACTGGGCTCCGTGCTGTGCACGAAACCTACTTTAAAAAATATATAAATTTTAAAAATAAAGTACAATACAAACAGCCTGGCTCTGTACCTGGTTACTAGGTGTGTATACACAAGAGGCTTTAGTAAACATCCCTCTTTACTGAGACAGGTTTGCACAGGTGGCTTTAAACCTCTGTGTTGAACAAAAGTGAACCTATGTGCAATTATATAATTTTCTTATTTGAAATTATGATAGGGTTACAACAAAATTAAAATTAAAAACTCTTTATCCAAGTCACCATCAAAAGCAAGATTCTTACTCATTAATCTTGTTTTGCTCAATTTCTTCAACGAACTGGTATCCTAAAATGTTAGCTACCCCACGTGAGACACATTTCATACCCAACATTGATTGGTTGCCAAGGAGACTTCCACTGCCACTGTGGGCAAGCTCATGTTTTCTCTCTCCCTTTCTGCTAAAAGGAGGGGAACTCATGGTGTAGGATCAAGGGCAAGATACAGGGAGAGTAAAGTATAGATCCAGCCTAATAGAGATTTGAAGTGAATTTTAAGTTCTGTTTCATCCATCAGCAGCAAAAGTACGTAAGTTCAAACAATAAAACTGGAAGCTTTAGGCTTGAAGGGGTATCAGCATCCGAGGACAGTCCATATCCTTCCTTGCATAAATCCAAGGAAAAGGCCAAGGGGAATTGGCATCTACCTGCCAGGTCCAAGAGTCTCCTAACCCTGGCTTCATCTGAGTCAAATTTCCCTATTAGAGAAACTCTGCTACTCTGAACAAAATTGTCCTTTATGGTAGCCCCCAATCACAGGTAAGAATAGTTCCTTCACAGAGTTCCAAACGTTTGAACTTCTAGAAACTATTTGTTGTTTCTCTTCCAGTATTGTGCCATTGATTCTTGCATAAAATTCTGGAATGCTGGCTCTTCACGGCTTTCCTCTGTAACTGCAAGGAAAAAAGGTCAATTCTTTTTAGCTTTCCCATTATATAGGTGGTTAGAGCTGCTGTCACCAGTCCATCAGAAATAGTACTGTTTCTAATAAACTAAGTGTTCACTAATCCCAGTAAGGAAATACCTCCCAGAAGCATGCTCTATTTATCATGTTGCCCAAATGCACAATTTCTCTCATCTGTAAATGAGAATACCTCATTCATAAAGTAACTAGAATGAGGTCCCATTCCTAGGTATTTTTAACCAAGAGAAATATATATAGCAGCTTTATTAATAACTAAAATCTGGAAATAACCCAAAAGTCAATCAGCTAATGAATGAACAAATTGTGGTATGGCCACATAATAGAACATTATTCAGCAATAAAAGAACGTATTTCTGATACATGGATGGATCCCAAAAGCATTACACTGACTGAAAAAAGTCAAATGCAGCAAGCTATT